GAGCTTGCAGTGAGCTGAGATCGTGGCCACTGCCCTCCAGCCCTGGGTGACAGAGCGAGGACTCTGTCTCAAAAAAAAAAGAAAAAAGAGGGGGTGTTATGCAGCCCGTGCCCCTGTGCAAGAAAACACACCTGTTGGTAGTGCTGAGCCATTTCAAATACACATACCCTTCACCCTGGTGAGGCCAGCCCAAAAATCTGTTCTGCAAAATACACATTAGTGTCAGTGTTGGTGCAAGAGGGTTACTTGCAACAGTGAAAATGCTCACCCCTCAGTCTAGTGGTTAGGTTCTGATGCCTTTGATGTGCTTGGGAAAGTTCTGGAAGCAGCCAAAGAAGACCATTAACTTTAGTCACCACCTGGAGAAGCCTGGGATAGCGTGGGTGGGGTGATTTTTTAAAGAACAACTTTATTGAAATATAATTTACCATACCATACCAATTTGCATGCCATAAAGCTTATCCACTTGAAGTGTACACTTCCACGTCTTTTAGTGTATTCACATTCACAGAGCTGTGTGACCATTACCACAGTCAACGTTCCCCTTCAAAAAACTCGTATCTATTAACAATAGCTCCCTATTTCCCCTGACCCCCCCGCAGCCCTAGGCAGCCACTAATCTTTCTGTCTCTATGGATTCGTCTATTCTGGGCATCTTATATAAATGGAATCATATATTACCGTGTCTTCAAGATGAATTCATGTGCTGCACTTCATTCCTTTTTACGGCTGAATGGTATTCCCTTAAATGAACTATACCATATTCACCCATTCATCAGTTGATATACCCTCGGAATACTTCCACTTTGGGCTATTATGAATAATATTACTAAGAACACACATGTTTTTGTGTAGACATATGCTTTCATTTCTCTTGGCTATATATGTAAAAGGGGGATTTGCTGAGTGTCATGTTAACTCTGACCTTTCAGGAACTGCCGGCTTGTTTTCCACAGCCAGTGTAGCCTGTTACATTCTCACCAACAGGAGAGAGATTCCTGTTTCTCCACACCTCTGCTGACGCTTATTTTGTCTTTTTGATTATAGCCGTCGTAGGAGGTGTGATGTGGCATCTATTTGTAGTTTTGATTTGCATCTCCCTAATGCCTAATAATGCTGAGCATTTTTAATTTCTATTTTTTGTAGAGACGGGGTCTGGCACTTTTGCCCAGGCTGGTCTGGAGCTCCCGGCCTCTCAGCGCTGGGGTCACAGGCACCAGCCTCCACCGTGAGCTGAGCATCTTCTGGTGCTTATTGGCTCTTTGCATAATGCACTGGAAAAAATTCATATCCTTTGTGCATTTTTCAATTGATTGTCTTTTTATTGTTGAGTTGTAAGTTTCCTACATTCTAGATACAATTCCCTTATCAGATATGTGACTTACAAATATTTTCTCCCATTCTGTGGGTGGACTTTTAATTTTCTTGGTGGCGTCCTTTAAAGCACACGCTTTTGTTTTGTTTTGAGATGGAGTCTTGCACTGTCACCAGGCGGGAGTTCAGTGTCATGATCTCGGCTCACTGCAACCTCCGCCTCCTGGGTTCAAGTGATTCTCCTGCCTCAGCCTCTGGGATTACAAGAAGGCGCCACCACACCTGGCTAATTTTTGTAGTTTTGGTAGAGAGACGGGGTTTCACCATGTTGACCAGGCTGGTCTAGATCTCCTGATCTCCTGATCCACCCACCTCAGCCTCCCAAAGTGCTGGGATTTCAGGCGTGAGCCACCACGTCCGGCCGCACGAAAGTTTTTAATCTGGTGAAGTTTAATTTATTTTTCTGTAGTCGCTCCTGCACTGCCTCGTCCAAGGTCTCGAAGATCTCCTGTCGGCTTCCAAGTGTTTGCTTTTTTTTTTTTTTTTTTTGAGACCAGAGTCTCGCTCTGTGGCCCAGGCTGTAGTGCAGTGGTGCAATCTCGGCTCACTGTGCAAGCTCCGCCTCGCCCGGGTTCGAGCGATTTTTCCTGTCGCAGCCTCCGATATCTGGGATTACAGGCACGCACCACCACGGGCCCAGCTAATTTTTTTTTTTTGTATTTTTAGTAGAGACGGGGGTTTCACCGGTGTTAGCCAGGATGGTCTCGATCTCCTGGACCTCGTGATCCATCCGTCTCGGCCTCCCAAGTGCTGGGATTGCAGGCGGTGAGCCACTTTCTAACGGCCTTTTTCTTTCTTTTTTCTTTTTTTTTTTTTATCGGTAATCTCGTCGCGCTCTGCCGCCCAGCAATGACGTGATCTGGCTCACTGCAACCTCCGCCTCCCGGGTTCAATCGATTCTCTCCTCAGCCTCCCGAGTAGCTGGGATTACGGGCGCCCCGCCACCACGCCGGCTAATTTTTTGTATTTTTAGTCGAGACGGGGTTTCGCTATGTTGGGCAACTCTTGACGCTCGTGTTTCTCCCTCTCGGCTCCCAAAGTGCTGGAGTTACATGCCGTAGCTACCGCGGGCCGGCCGTGTTTGGCATGTGTTTAGCACCTTTGAATTTAAGTCTGTAGAGCCACTCAAGTGATTTTTAACTTTTTTCTTTTATCTTTTTGATACTTTATATTTCCAAGTTTGAATTGTTTTCTCTCCAAGCCAAGTGTTATTTTTTTAAAAATGAGGAAACCAACATCAGGAGGGATGCTGACGTCGATCCCGCGCCTTCCATCGGCACCTGCTACCCCCAAGGCGAGGACTCGGAGGGGCTCCAGAGACCCGGGGCGGCTCGGTGGGCTCCAACGGCACTGCAGCCTGCCCTGCGCCTGCGCATTCCGCTGGCCTGCGCTGCCGGCCCCTGCGCGTTCCCCGGCTGTGGGGCCTCAGCGGCGCTCCTCCGGGCAGGTGTTCGCCGAACTCTCGCGAGCTCGGGAGGGTGGCACGTGGATTGATGACTGCGCGCTGCTCCCTCCGGCCTCCCGGCCCGGGCTCCTGAGGACCCCTCCGCCTCCACTTTCTGCCCTCCTCTGGCCCCCCTCCGTCCCCGCTCCTCGTCCTCCCAGCCCCCTCCTCCCCGGCTCCGTCTCTCCTCAGGCCCCTTCGTCCCCCGCTCGCGGTTCCTCCGTCAGGCCCCCTTCGTCCCCCGGCTGCGTCTCTCAGGCCCGCCTTCGTCCCGCCTCCGTCCTCCTCAGGCCCCTCCTCCCCCGCGCGCCCCGCTCGTTCCCTCTCAGCTCCTTCCCCGCGCTCGTCCTCCTCAGGCCCCCTCCTCCCCGGCTCCGTCCTCTCAGGGCCCCCTGCGCCCCTCCTCCCCGGGCCCCGGGCCCCGCGGCGGGATGCGGGGTACAACACCAGCCCCATCAGCGTGATTCTGGTGAGCTCGGGGAGCAGGGCAATAAAGGCTGCTGCTTCAGCGCTTACCCTTCCAGAGAAGCCAGGAGCCCCCGGCGTCCCAGACAAGTAAGTGAGCGCTGGCGGGCCTGGCGCTCGCGGGGGCCGCCCCATTCCGGGCCGCCTCGCGGAGCTTAGCTGCTGGGCGTTCGAAACCTGCTCGTTGTAGAGTATTTGAAAAGGTAGAAAAAGGAAAAAAAAAATTAAAATTTAAAATCATGCGTGTTCACCACACCAGAGTAACTTAGCTGCTGACCATGTTCATCAGTCTCCAGCTTTAAAAAATAAATTAAAATTAAAATGAGGTTTTGGAGTGTATTGCATCTTGAGCAAAATACAAAATTACGCAAAACAAGCCAGTCGCTGTGGGCCACACCTGTAATCAGCCACTGTTGGGAGGCCGAGGCGGGCGCATCACCTGAGGGTCAGGAGTTACAGACCAGCGCTGGCCAACATGGTTGAACCGTCTCTACTAAATGAAGAGAATAACCCCAAAAATTAGCCGGCGTGGTGGTGCGCCCAAATCCACTATCGGAGATGAGCAGAAATCGCTGAACCGGGAAGCGGAGGTTTCAGTGAACCAAGATCACACCACCTCGCGACTCCAGTCTGGGCGCGAGCCAGAGCGAGGACTCCGTTCGAAGAAAAAACAAAAAAAAGAAGGCTTATGGCGACCATCTGAAGTGTGTCTGGTTGGCCACCCAGTTCCAGCCAGCACAAGGATCACCCCGCGGCCCGTGTGGGAATTGTCTGCCCTGTGCATAGATGGCAGATCTATCCACAGAGAGAAGAGAGAACATTGGCGTGAGGGTTTTTCCTTGGCGAGACGAATTGGTGTCTGTGGCAACGCCTTGGAGCTGCTGTCTGCGCCTTTGCACAGGCGAGGGATCAAACTCACCCTTAACCTGCAGCTGATCTGGATTCCCTGTGAGACGGGCGATGTAGGGGTTACTTTGATTTTTACATCGATCGCGGATGAATTGTTCCAGTTTTTGGTGTTTTATTTTATTTTTTTGGAGCGGAGGTCTGGCTCTGTCACCCAGGGCTTGGAGGTTCCAGTGGTGCGGAGTCTCGGGGTCACTGCACGCTCTGCCTCGCCGAGTTCGACG